GGGTACAGGTCAGAGGTGCAGGAGGTGAGGGAGTTCACCAGAGACAGAGTGGGGAGCAAAACAGGCAGATAGAGGAAGTACACTACTGAGGGGAACAGTGGGTGAGAAAGGTGAGGTCTGGTGCACCATGTGGATCACCTCTGGGGATGGGGATCGAACTGGTACTGAAGTGACTGCAGCTAGCTTTGTAGTGGTGTGTGCGTTAAGCCATTGCGCCACCAGGGAGGGCCCTCACCATTGTTATTTTAAAACAATTTATTAAACACTCCTATTCAAGTAGATACTGAGCTGATGCCGTAGTAGGTCCACACACAAAGGAACCAAAAACGAGGTACAAATTAATCAGGAAGGCATAATACATATTTATACATTGAAATATCCTGTATGATCTAGGTCTCTCTGAATTCCAAATTTATATATTTATATATTTTGAGAACATTCAAATAAAATAATCTGGAATAGGGTCAGAATCAAGACTGCAGAGTTCCATAAAAATAAATTTGAAAATTTCGAAAAGTCTGTTGTTTGCATCATTTTCAAGCAAAAGAAAATAATGCCTACGTGAACTAAAGAATCGCCAGTCAGTGAGCAATCCCAGGTGCGGCTCTGGAATGAAGCCATGTTCCCATGGCAACTTGGGAATCGTCCTTTTAAGTCTCCTCGCGTGCTCCCTCCCGCGTCACTTCCGGCGTTACCTGTGCGGTTACCGGGAGCTGTAAACAAGGTGTGCAGGCACCCGGAGAGCTGTCGGGATGCAGCAGAGCGGAGCGACTAGAGGTTGTGGCTGTGCTCTGTTCCCCCTGCTGGGTGTCTTGTTTTTCCAGGGTGAGTACACAGCTGGCTTTGCCCAACTTCCGGCCGGGGGCTTCGGGAAGATCGTCGCTTTTCCGGTTCCGGGTGTGTGTAGGGGTTGTCTCAGGAAAGCCCCCACAAAGTTTCTGGGGTAGGAGGGCTCGTCAGGATTTGGCGTTTATCACGACATTTTGAGGAGGGTTGGTAGTTTTGTCTGTACTTTCGTGAGCCTCTGGTAGTGCGACAACCTCGTGTGCCTAGGTTTTGGTGGTTGGCATCCCTTGTTAGAACCCCGAAGGGCGCTATCTTGTGACGGAGAGATCAGTGGTTGACTCTGCTGTGGTTTTTTGGGTTGTGTTCCCTGATTAGGAAAGGACTTTTCAACTCAGTTTGTCCCAGTCAAGAAAATCATCACTGTTGATTTCATTTTTGTAGATGTTAGAATCTATGAAATAAATAAACCTTTGTTAGTCACAGAAAGGATGTGCTGTGATTTTATTATAATAGACTTGTTGAGAAAGAAGCTTGTACGTTAGTAACTTTAAAAATTTTTTTTTTAGGAAGGGCCTATTAACTCAAATTTTAATATATTAAGTAGTAGCATTTCTAGGACATCCTTAAAATTTGGACAAATGTTGCTTGCTTGCAACTTTCGAATTGCTATGTTTCATTCCAGCACAATTATCTGCATTTTAGAATGTAATTATGTTCTGTGTTGTGTATGTGCCTTCCTGAGAAGTCATAATTTAGTAGGACTAGCACTGGAGTGAGTTGTTTCCTTCATACAATTTAAAATTTCCCTGTGGGTAATAGGAATTTCGAAAGGAGATCTTTAACACAAAGGTTTGTGTTGTCTAAATCTCAGCAGGTAAAGCCGGGAAGTTTTCATTTAGTTGGTGACTAATACCCATTCTACTAGCCCACTCCCTGGTTCCCTCCCAGCTGTTTGTGTCATCCCAAGTGTCCAGTTTTTCAGCTAAATTCTTTTGCAATCTAATGGTTAGGATGATCTACTGTCACTCTAAAATAACCTGGTTTTTCTCTCTTTCTCTCTCACACAGAGTTCAAATATTGTCCTAGGAGAGAGATCTAAATATAATGGTGCCATTTCACATTGAAAAGCATCCATCAAATTCAGACCAAATATTCAAACATTAAAAGTTGATTTTAGGATCTGTGTATTTGTTTGACTGTTTACCCTTGGCTTTTAAATAAATAAAGTAATTTATTAAGTAATTAAGTGTTTTTTAGTATATTCACAGGATTGCACAATAATTTCCACAATTAATTTTCATCACCCCAAATTAGAAACTTAATACCTATTAATAATCACTCTCCATCCCTCTCTTCCCTCACCCCTGATAAACATTAATCTACAATTTATTGCTGTGGATTTGCCTATGATAAATGGAATCATGCAATATGTGTTTCTTTGTGAATAGCTTCTTTCACTTAGCATGTTTTTGAGGTTCATTTTTTGGTGTCTTACTTTTGTCTTGAATCTGTTGGATACTAGACCGATTTTTCTTAAGTGTTTATTTGCTCATCAAAGATAGAACCCATTCAATTACCAGCTTGTTTGAATTCTCTCTAAGTTAATAATGTGGTCTTGCTATATCAGTTGTCTAAATATGCAGAAACAGTAGATGAGGCAGCCTGAAGATCCACTTAAGCATGCAATTTTATGAACCAAAGTTGACAGATTTATATTTTGGAGAATTGGGTGTATGTATTGGGAGTTTTGCCATGGTTCCCACATTTCTTATATGTATAAAATGACCTCTATTTAAATGTGATTTTTCTATTGTGATTTTTTTAAAGATTGGAAAAAAACTTGTTAATTATGAATATGTCTATAATTGGTTGCTTTTACTTGCAAGAACATTTTTTTTTTATTCAGTGAAGATAAATAGCCATAAGAACATTAAACCTAGAATGAGCATTTCTACATACATGTAACTTTGGCTAGATACTTTTCTTATTTTTTGAGTGGAGGAGATAAATTATCTTATATCCATTGATTTTTAAAACACTTGATTTCAGTATACTATATGTGAAAAAAGTGCAGATATGTAAGTGCACCGCTTAATGAAATTTCAGAAACTGAATTTACCTGGGTAACCAGCACCTAAATCGGGGTATAGAATATCACTGGCTCTTCAGGAGTCTTCCCTGTGCTTGGTTCAGTCATTATCCCTTCTTCCTGTCCTGATGTGTGACAGTGTACATTAGTTCATCCGTGGGTCCTACTTTTCTGTAACTATTTAAGACCGACCCACTTACCCAGAGTTTATATTTTAGTGAAGTGACTAAATATTGATACCTTTGTGGCAAAACTATGCTTATGAATTTGGACTTCAAATATATAAAAGGAAGAAGTTGGGAGGTAAGTAACTTGGTTTACTCACTATAATTCAGTAACTAAAAATTTGCCCAGAACACACAATTTTAATGTGTATTTTGTAGCAATTTTTTGTTGTGCTAAAAGAGATTTGTTTTGTTTGGTTCAGATGAATAAATCATTACTGAGCATCTACAATGTGCTAGGCTATTTCCATAAGGCAGAAAAGTTAATAGATAATTTTAGAATCTAGTACTAACAGAGAAATGCATTAGAAGCCAGTGAAGTACAGTAAAGGCACCCTTAATCTGCCATGAAGATACACAGAATATGTCCCAGGAGTACCCAAATTTAAATCTTGAAAGAAAAATAAAAGTTAGTGATAGGAAGTAAGGAAGATTCCAGACATAGGGACATAAAAAAAGGCACAGAGGCATTAAATAACTTCCCAAGCAAAGTTTTTGAAACCCATTTGGTTGGTTTAGCATACCTCTTTGGTCAGGAGAATGGTATGCTAAAAGGAGCGACTATGGCTCTCCAGAAGTTATGCACATTTCTTCCTAACTCAGAGACTTTGCCTTGAAAGTAGCCATAATGGAACTTAACAAACCCTACATATTTGAGCTTTCCCCTAGCTGCTCACCAGCACACCTCTGCATGTAATAATGGATTTAGTTCAGATAGGATCACCCCTTAGAGTCAGGAGGAGTTTTAGCTATTAGTTGGCGCCTCTCCCACCAAATCCACCCACTTCCCTTCTATGTATTTTAGACCCCGGATAGCTAGTCTCTTCCCGAAGCCTTCCTCTGACTTCCAGTTAGGTGTGGCCAATGGAAGACATTGCCAGAAAATTGAAGGGCAAGAAGAGAAAACATCAGGGTCTTTCTTTTCTGTTCCCTCTCCTGTCAGGTGTCAGCTCCAGATCTTACCAGCTGTGGTCACATTATTTCCTCCCTCTGTTCCTTCAGGTCTGGGGCTGGTAAAGGCTTTGTGTATTTGTTGATTTCCTTGATCCTGAGGAGAGTTTCTTTGAAAGTGGCCCATAGGTTTTTCAAAATATCAACTGATGGTACTATTTCCTAACTTGATAGAGTTATCTTCCTCCAAACTCATGCACAATGTGGGCAAGAGTGGATAGTCGAAGAAAACCAAGGTATCGTTAATGAATATCGAGTTGAAGACAAAAATAAAAAAGTTCACTGTGTTCACTTTCATGTCTGTGAAAAGTGATTCTTGCCGATTCAGGTCAGCATATCTAGTAACATTTGGCCACTCAGATAAGTCATGGCTAACACTATAGATTGGGGAGTTTTTGGTTTACTAGAAGCTACTAAACCTATAAAAGTTGGTAGGATTTAAGTGGAAAATGTTGAATGAAGAACTATGGGTTAAGGGTGACACGCTAAAGGACACCATTGTTTAAGGGATGATAGGAAAGGAGGAGCCTTAGAAAGGTATTTGATAGAAACTATAAAAATGTGGAGTTTGTGTGTGTGTATATACCACAGATGGTGTTAGAGTTGTTTGGAGGGACACTAAGGACATTCAGATTTGTAGCTCTAACTCATATTTCTTCTTTGCTTTAAACCATTGTCAGCAAACTTTTGTAAGGGCATTGTGGTGGTTTTTTTTTTAGGCTTTGTGGGCCACATAGTTGTAATTAATTACTCAGCTCTTTGGGAGTAGTACCAAAGGAGTCATAAGCAGTGTATGCATGCATGAACATGACTGCGTTCTAGTAGAACTTTACACAAAGACATTGTGTGTTGGATTTGGCCCATGGGCTCATAGTTTGCTAACCTCTGTCCTAAACCTGCTGCTCTCTTGCTATTATCCCTGGGGCATATCAGAGGCACCTTAAACTTAAATCAAATTCATGTTCTTCCATGCCAAGTCTGGTATTTTTTTCTTCTCCTTTGATTCACAAGTGGTAACACTAAGGCTCCCTCTCCCTAACATTCTGCATCTCATCTAGCATGAATTGTTGCTGATTTTACCTTGTGAATATTGTTATCTTCTTAGTTCTTTCCATCTCCACTGCCAACAAATTAGTTCAAGCTTCCCTTATTTCTCATTTGATTAGTAGCTTCCTAAATAATCTCCAATTTACTCTCGACTCCTAAGTGACTTCCTTAGAGTGATCTTTTAAAAATGCCAACTTCATCATGTCTCTTCCCACTGAATACCACAATTAAGTATTCTTCCCATTAGATTCCTGTTTAGCTCCTCGCCTCATCTTCTTTTCTCCCATGTTTGCTCTCTGTGTTGCAGTCATACTGCTTCCTTTCAGTTCATTGACTGTGTTCATTCCTGGCCCAGAAACTTTGCACATGCTGTTTCTCTACATGCTGTGCCCTCTGCATCCTATCCTTATTATACTTCCTTCTGAACGTAGCTTAAAAGTAACTTTTTCAGAGCACTTTCAGTAACCACAATGCTCCCCTACAATAACAGGTGCAGTTATTATAGTCACTCTCTTCCTTTCATTCATAATACCTATCAGAGTTTGTAATTATACATTTGTCCTGGCGATTATTTGACTAATGTTTCAAACTTACACTGTGTTTTAGACTCTAAGACAGAGAATGCATTTGTTTTGCTCACATTTGATCCCAGGCTCAAAGGGTGGCGCAAAACATGCTCAATAAACACGTTTGAAGAATGAATGAGTGAGAGTCTTATCGTGGAGCACTTGGGATAGCAAAAGTCAAGAAGCAAGCAGTCACAGTATCAGAGATTTAGAAAAGTCAGGGTAGAAAATGACTCATTGGAGTTTTTATCCCTTGGATTTGTCTGTTTTAAGACATGATGCTTTCTACCAGAAGTGATAGTAAAGTCCATATTCTTCTGTGGGGTTGCCAAAGTGAGTGGGAAAAGGGAGGGAATAAAAATGACAAGTGTAGACTACTTTCTCACAGATTTGACTTAGGAAGGAAGGAGAGGGCAGTGACTAGTAGTAAGAAGTAATGCAGGATTAAGGAAAGATTGTTAGCTTTGTTGTATTATTTGTTTTTTAAGGATGGGAGAGGCATTTATGTGTTTAGAGATTGAGGAGAGAGAGAGAGAGAGACCCTCTCTAAAGGGAGAGATTAAGGATAGTGGAGAGGGTTTTTCTGCTGGAGCAAGGTGTGGAGGGGAGGAATCCAGGGCAGAGAAGAAGGGGTTGGCTTTGCAGAGAACCAGGAATACTACACCCTTTCAGACTGGAGACTAGGGGAGGAGAGGCAAAGCAGGAAGGTGTGTGACTGGCCAGGTTGTGCAGCCTCAAGTTTCTTGAAGAAGAAGAGACATTGTCTTCTGAGAATGAGAGGCCTAGAGATTGCATAGAGGATGAAAGAGAAAGACAAATGTTTGAGAAGTCAGAAAGAAGAGCTGACCAAGGCCAGTGAAAGGGTTATCATACCCCATTAGGGTTCCACTGTGGGTCGAATTAATGAATTATTTAACTACCTTAAAGTTGTATGCTTTTCTCTTTTAACATACACCAGACACAGTGTAGGAGTGGCTATCTAGAACTGAACTTTTCCTAAGTGGGTGCAATGAGAGAGTGGTGGAACCTTAAGAATATTAAGTATGCTGTAAAAAGGGGGCAAGGAAGTGAGTGGGTACCAATGGACACACTTCATTTCTCTACTAGGACTTTTAATGACCTGTCCACCTCATTCTCTCAGACTCTCTGCTTGCTCACTTCCCTCTAAATTTTTGCCCTCAAGTTACTTCACTTAATAGTCAAAACAGTCTTTAGAAATTGAATGTAATCAGTGGTACGTGTGCTCGAGTAGCATTATGTGCTGTTCTGGGAACACCAAAGCAATGAAGTGTATTAGGGCACTTGGGCAGGAATCAGTCAAGGAACTGAAAGAGAAGTAGTAATATGGTTGCAGCACAAAGAGCTGACTTTTTTTTTTTTAAAGATTTATTTATGCATACCGAACTGGGATACAGGCCAGAGGTGCAGGGGCGGTAAGAGGATTCACCAGAGACAGAGCAGGGAGCAGAACAGGCAGATCGACTAAGTACTCTGCTGAGGGGAACAGCGGGGGGTCAGGAGAGGTCTGGAGAGGTCTGCCACGCCATGTGGTCACCTTGGGGCAGGCAGGGATCTATCTCGTTCGGAAGTGACTTTAGTTTCTTAGTGCTGTGCTTTAACACGCTGCGCCACCAGGGAGGGCCACAAAGAGCTGACATTTAAGCTGCGTTTTGAAAGTGTGAATGGTGGCAAATACGGTATATTGGGAACATGCCATGTAGGGTTGGTAGGAACGGGGAGAACTTTTCAGGTAAGTCATGCTCAAAGAAAGACAGTGGCATGAAAACACATCGTAAATTTAGGAATGACAGATTGTCCTGGCTCCGGTGAAGAGGGTGGTGGGATGGGTAGGTAGGTGGAGTAACAGACTTTGGGGGATAGATTATCATTATTTAGATTTTATGCTATAGCCAATAGAGAATAATTGAAGATTTTTAAATATTTGTCACTGCTCATTTTAATAATAGCTAACTTTATTGAAAGTTTTTAGTTTAGGTGTGATGCTGAGCATTTTATGTATTCTCTTACTTAATCTTATCAGATCCTCACAGTGATTCAGTGAACTAGTTATTATTATTATTCTCATTTACCAAGTGAGGAAACTGAAACTTGAACAGGTTAGGTAACTGTGATCAAGACCTCATAACTAGAAATAGATAGACTTGAACTCAAATCCAGTTGTAATTCTAAATCTATACTCTAAAATTTCTCAAGTGTACTTATATTTTAGGATAAAGGGATGGGGCTTGAGGAGATTGTAGAAGCTACTCATTTCCACCTGTTGTTCAGAGCCTGCTTCTTGAGTGAAGAGAACATTGGGTCAGAAATGAGGACTTCAGAGGGAGCAGACTGAGAGGTGGATGCTTTCTGGGAAGAGGACCAGCAATTGCAGAGGCACAGAAGAAATGATGAGTGTACTGAAGACAGTCAGGACACATCCTCTGGATGAGCCAGGAGCAGTCCTAATCTTTGGCATGGGTCAAGTTCTTATTAGAGTTGTGAACTCAGTCTTGGTCTCCTCCTTTCAATAGGAATGTGAACAGACTAGATTGTCTAGATAGGAGCAAGGACAATGATGGACAGTAGGCAGAGGTGAAGGCAGCAGAACCGATGACTCAGCTGTGTGGGTGAGGAAGGGTTGAACGTGGAGGCTGCACTGAAGAGGTGGCAGTAATGGCATGCATCTGGCACTTACTGTGGGGTAGATTCTTTTCTGTGTTGTCCATGTTTTAACTCATTTACTCCTAACAGTGAGCTTCTAAGATAAGGACTTACGTGCTGTTATTATCATTCCCATCATGAAGAAGAAAAGTAAGTAGTTTAAGACCAGAGGCAGCAAGCGAAAGGACTGGCATTTGCATCCTTTACCACTGGGACTGCTGGCTTTTACCATGTTGTTGGGTTTGCTTGCTCTTCGGAAAACTCGCAGCTCTGTTTGCCTTTGGATTGCTGGATGTCCCCCTTCACTGCTTATGGCAGTGAAAAAATGGCCACCTGGCAAAGGATAGTCACTGTTCTAAGAAAGCAGAGGGGATTGATGAGAAGAAAGTGCCACTCTTTTGTGGGTGTCAGATTTGGCTATGTAAGATGATTTTGAAAAACTAGAGAGTTTAAAAATGACATGTATTCATACCTCTTTAGAATGTATTCCACTGTAACTCCCATGATTTACTTTTTTAAAATTTGTATTTACTTATTTAAATGTATTTTACATCATTGTCCATGTTAAACAATGTTTACTCCCCACCCCAGGTGTAGACCCCATGGAATTTCCTCCCCCAGTGTGCTGTGCACCATCACCACAGTCCCTGTGCTCCTCACTCCTCCCCTCCACCCCCTCCCTCTCCCATGATTTACTTTTGATGCATGCATATTCATTAACCAGCGGTAAGAAAGGAAACAAAACAAAACAAACTAGGTAGAACCTGGAGGCAGCTCTATGATATTCCATGAAACAGTTTCCTATTCTCCTTTTGTTAGTGGTGGAGGCAATGGTGGCTTCAGGTTACAACCGTGCCATCCTTGGGGTAAGTCCTCAGCTGCCGTGTTCCCAGAGGGCATGTATGTTGGAGCAGTGGGTGGTGTTGCCTTTTAGTCTGCTGTGGGTTGACCTGCTTCTTTGTGCTTGATTTGATCATAGATGTGTATTTGGAAAAATGCTGGTGTGACAAGGTTTAAAATTTTTATCCAAACATTCATTCTATGATTTAATATTGTAAACTGACAAAAATACTACCCTTGATTAATTCAGGTAACCATTCCTCATCCTTTTGGGTTGGCCTGAGAAGATATTTATTGCTATGGTTTTTGAAGAGAACCCTAAAAATGATAAATAGTATCTCCATATATCCCACCCAAATGAGTGCGTTTAAATGTCTGGCCTTGCTTTGATTAGGTGTTTCTGTCGTCCTTTCCTTGGAAATTAAAGTGGATGCCAATGTCCGGGGTTATGTTGGAGAAAAGGTCAAGTTGAGATGCACCTTCAAGTCCACTTCGTCTGTCACTGACAAGCTCACAATAGACTGGACATACCGACCTCCCAGCAGTAGTCGCACAGAGTCAGTAAGTGCATATTTTTTTGGGGGGTAGTAAAATACTTAAAATAATTTTTTATTATAATAGTTTATTTTTACATCATTTGTGCCTTTTCCCATCTCAGTTGTAATCCCCGTGGGCTTCCCATCACCAAATTACCCATGTGCCATCACCATACTCTAGTGCACTTCCCTCCCTCCACTCCATTTCTGATCCCATTCCCCACTCCACCCCTGTAAAATGTCTCTGGTATATAGTTGTTTATTATTATTTTCTCGCCTGGTCCATTATGCTCCTGCTATATGAGTGAAGCAATCTGGTATTTTTCTTTTTCTTTCTGGCTTATTTCACTAAGCATGATCCCTTCCAGGTCCATCCATGTTGCTGCAAAAGGCATGGATTTATCTTTTTGATTGCTGAGTAATATTCCATTGTGTATATATACCACATCTTTTTAATCCAGTCATCTACTTTTGGTCATTTGGGTTGATTCTATGTCTTTCCTATTGTAAATAAAACAGAAATAAACAAGGGGGTGCAGGTGTCTTTTCGAATCAGTGTTTTCATGTCAGTAAGTGCATATTTTTAAGGATATTTCTTTGAACGTTTTGTGGTCAACAGCACTGAGATTCCTTTATTTCAAGTCACAGGCACATCTTAGACCGGCTCACCTTAGGCTAGAAGATGAGCTTCTACTTAAATATTATAGAAAGGGATAAGCTTCTACCTGGTACCACATTCGTTTAGTTTTGTAGGGCTTTTTATTCTTTACATAAGAATCTTATAAATACGTTCTAGGAAAAAAACTGTCAGAAGCTCTGAGGAAATGTGGTTTACTTTCTTTTCCCTTTCTTGTTTCTTTTTGCATTGTGTCATGGCTTCATTTACAAATTTGAGCTGCAAAGAAGGGCACCGCCAGGATTATTGCATAGAAAAGTTCTGTAGGTCCATTTCTCTCAAAGCTGCTTGTTTCCTGTCAGGTGAAGTTATCTTGGTGGGCGGGTTTATCTGTTTGTAGATCTGTCCTAGATTTAGCTTGGCATCCTCTTCTAGTGACTCTGCATCTGCCCTGATTTATATAGCTCCTTTTGAAGGAAGTGGTGGCACTTTGTATTGATGACAGATGCTGCTGGTGATAGACGGCCTTACAATATCAGAAGCAATATACTTTAATCACACACTAAAATAGACTTCGTGGTTCAGATCACATTGCAGATGTCTAATAGAAGATTGCAGTGCTGTCAACAATCCTTTGTCTTTATGTTTCCAGCAGTTTCCTTAGCTCAGGGTAGATGCTTTGAGAATGTGAATATCCTACCAGGTGAGAATGTATTTTTGAAGTATCCCCAATTTGTTGATTTGTTTTTTTTTTTTTATTGGAAAAAGTTTCTCTTTGATTTTTAATGTATAAACTTTGAATTTGTTTTGGGAGCCAGTGGTGAATGTCATTTCACTTGGAGTTAGGTACCTGGCTCAGGCGAAGGAAGCTAGGCTGCAGTTCGGCTTCCTTTTTCTTTAGACTTAAATTGGTTCACTGTGGTTTGGGGAACTGTGAGAGATCTTATTTGGCCCTGCCTTCTTGGCCAAAAGTAGGACAGAGCAAACAATGGGAATCTTCCTAGGTCAGAAAGCTTAAATGCAAACAGCTGCGCTTGTGTGGTGCCGTTCTCTGTGAGACTGATCAGAAACTCTGCAGATTTACCTAGAGTAAGAGTTAGTGATTCTTTAAAGACACAGCCCATTAGGATTCTGCCAGACTAATTTATAGCAATGATTTGAATATTACTACTTTAGCTTGGAAATTAGGAGTTGGAGTGATCTTGATCATACAAAGCATATCTTGTTTTGACCTTCAGACCTTTTTATATAAATGCTGGTCATCAGTGGTAGATACTCTTTTCTTCCTCTTGACATCCTCATCACATATATTATTTCTTAATTTCTGTATTTCTCCCTGGACTGTAAATTCGGTGAGAGCAGGTACTGTGCCTGTTTGCTCTCACTGCATCCTTTTGCTGGATGTGGTGCCTAGCACATAGCAGCTGTGAAATAAATATTTGTTGAATGAATGCACAAGTAAATGAACCAATAAGTGATTCAGCGTCTTCTCTGGGAAGTTGTCAAAATTGGGTAATTCAGTGGTTGTAAAATTTGGGGTACCGAGTAAACAAAGAAAGAGGAAAGCCTTCAATCTTGCACAACAGAGAGAGGAGCCTGTGGTGTGGCAATACCTGCCTGACCTGCCACCAGATATAATTATGTGCCTCTGGTGACAAAGTCAGTGTCTGATCATCAATCTGAAGTAGCTTCACTTAATTTAACATATATTCGTTGAATACTGGTCATGCATTTGTTTAAGGTTTTTATTTGAGAAGGTGATTTTAAGAATAAACAAAAGCCTCTCCTTTCCCACTCATGCATACTGTACCTTTTTAGCTCACTTAGTTTTTTTTCTTTATGACCTTGTTTCTTTTTCTGTAAATTCAGAGTAACAATACCATGTAGTTTAGCACTGTTATGAGGTTAAATGAATAAATTTGTGGACGTTGTTTGTGAACTATAAAATCCCACACATGTGTTAGATGCTACTTTAGAATAGGGTTTCTCAGTATTGGCGTGGTTGACACTTTGAGCCTGATCATTTTTGTGGGGGGCTGTTCTCTGCGCTGTAGACTTTTAGCAATATTCTTGGCCTCTACCCACTAAATGCCAGCAAGTATTGTGACATGCAAAAATGTCTCCAGATATTGCCAAATGTCTTCTCGAAGGCAAATTTGCCCCCAAGTGAGAAATACTGCTTTAGAATTTCAGGGAGAATTTAGAAGAGGTTTGAAAGTTCAAACCTAGAACACTTTCATCAGGTCTTTTTTGATAATAGTTATTAACCTGTCCTTTAGCAGGATGGTTAAAGCATAAATGCTCAACTGAGAAAGCCCATTTTACATGTGTATTTTATTTTGGACCTTTTAGCTTTACATTTTCCATATTAACTTTTTTTCTCATGGTGTCATTTTCTTAGATTTTTCACTATCAGTCTTTCCAGTATCCAACCACAGCAGGCACATTTCGGGATCGAATTTCCTGGGTCGGAGATGTATACAAAGGGGATGCATCCATAAGCATAAGCAGCCTCACCACAAAGGACAACGGGACATTCAGCTGTGCTGTGAAGAACCCCCCTGACGTGCACCATAATATTCCTGTGACAGAGCTAACAGTCACAGAAAGGGGTAAGCTTCCAGCCACCACACTTCTTGCAGTGCTCTGTGACTGCTATGGTGCTTTCTGGAGAGATCGATAATAACCAAGCGACTTCATCTTTGTAAGCCAGTTGACTATGGGAACATTCTGTCATCCTGAATCAACTATTAGGGTGAAAATCTTTATCTATATTTTTCAAATTAAAGCTGTTCATCAAACATGTCATGGTTTTTCATTCTCATTATTTTTTATATTAACTGTGGTTGACCAGGGTCTTGTGGATTGGGTGGCAAATCCCTGAATGAAGGGAGGATAGCTATCTATATGAAATAGAAGTCATTCTGGCTTCCTAGGTTATGAGACCTGTGTTCTTGCCTGTGTCTTGAAAGGGTATCCCCTCTAAGGGGATCTCCCATCTTTCATGTTGCAAAGAGCAGCAGTTTCCTTTCAATGTGAAATAGGAAGGGAATAGGCTAAGGACTGGCCTTTTTTCCTACGTTATCCTCTGGTGACTGAGGGTCAGTCATTCCAGTCCTTACTGGCTTTAAATCAAAGAATGAGAGACACACCACTATGATATGCTTCATTAGAGATAACTTCTCTCTCAAGTATTTCTCAGGACTGTCTTTTTTATTCCATTCTTCCTCCTCCCTTCCTTTCTTCCCCTCTTCTTCTCCAACTTTTCACTTTTTCCCCTCCTCTTCATCATTTTTTCCTTCTCCATCTCTTAAAGACAATAGCTCATAGGTTTCTTAGAAAGAACATCGAAGGGGTAGATAGCAATGTTCTAACCCTAGCTTGTGGAATTGTGGGTAGAATTTTACATACCTGTACTTTTGCATATTTTCTACTTTTTCTGCAATGAATTTATTCCTTGGGTCATCAGAATATAAGCAAAAGTAAAAACCTATCTCATGTGAAAGGAAACACTTTTGCATGTGTTTCTTGTTACTTTTTTTTGTTTTTTGACCTCCTTTAGGTTTTGGAACCATGCTGTCCTCTGTCACCCTTCTTTCCATTCTCGTGTTCATCCCCTCGGCTGTGGTGGTGGTTCTACTGTTGGTGCGAATGGGGAGGAGGTCCGCAGGGCTGACGAAGAGGAGCAAGTCTGGCTACAAGAAGTCATCCATTGAGGTTTCAGATGAGTAAGTTCAGCTGGAGTCTGGACTGAGGATCCTGTCCACTCAGAGTCCTGCTTTGTGGACCTGTGTCCATAATGTCCTCTCTTCCAGGCCAAGTTTAGTTCCGCTGGTGAAGTTTCCTAATTTGAAGGAGGCTAATTCTGCCCAGGGTACTAGAGGAAAGATTGAAAGTGAGATTTTCTTGATGTTAATTCAGAGAGAGAGAATGAAGGTTTGATATATGTTCCTAGTCTCCTGCTTTGGCTGTCAGGTTGCACAGTCCTATGGCTCTGAAGATGAACTCTCCAGTGGTTGTGTCTTTCCTTTCAAATTAATAGGAAAATCCAGTTGTTTTTGCTACTGAGTTGATGTCTCCCAACAAAAAAATGCCTGAGCAGTGAGAGAGGTATTCAAAATAGTCTTGGAGGGCAAAAGCAATGTAAATTAAAAGCAACATCTACTTTACATCAACAGATTCTCTAAATTGTGGCTAATTGGACTGTACTTCTCAAAAGTGTTTATCAAACATGTAGGCATAAATAATCCAGTGTTTTCCCTTGAAATAAATTTGCTAAAGAAAAAGGTAATGGAAGCCTACATAAAGACACTGTTCATTCTCTGTTGTTCATATCAGGGGCTCCTAACCTGAGGAGTGAATTCTCACCTTGACGAGGTAGCCATATACATTTATTTATTTTTTTATGCTATATGCATTTATTTAACGGGAGAGAGGGTGCCCTTTATTAGGAATCTTTATTGTCCCCGCCTCCCCCGAGAAAAGATAAAGAGCTCTTAGTAAAATACAAAAATGCCTACTTCTACACGTGGTTCAACATGACCTCTTATGATCTAACCCTCGTCACATTGTTTATTGTTTTCTGCCATTTCTTCTCATTTGCTTCACATTCCAGTTGCAGAGAGTTTATTTTCTTCTCTAAACATATATACTTGTTCAAATCTCTTTCTTCCCATGTGCTTTTCTCTTACCTGGAGTCCCCCTCCCCCTCTCTTGTTAGCCTGAGTCTCCTTCCTTATCCTCCCAGCTTCAGCTGAAAGTCGCCTCTTTTAAGTGTCCCTGAGTCCTCTGGGGAGAACTAGTCACACCCTCTCTTCGCTATCCCAGCAGTTTAAGCTTAACGCTATTAGTAAACAGTCTTCATTGTATTGTGTTGAACATGCTTGTTAAGTTTTAACAGGTCTCTTATCCCTATGAGGTAGTGAGCTACTTAAGGACCTTGTCTTATTATGTCTTTCTCCCCAGCCTAGCACAGTGCCTTTTATATGGTCAGTGCTCAGTGCCTTTCTCAATAAATGATGGTTACCAGCAACTCTTTACTGAGTACATGTATAAACTCATGTTTTTTTTTTTTTAAATTTAGTCTTAACACTAGCCTTTAAGAGTAGATGATAATACCTGCATTTTAGAGATGAGGAAACAGGCTCCTGGAGTTTAAGCAATTCACCCAGTCACTGTGCCAGTAAGTGGCAGAACTGGAATTTAGAACCAGCCCTGTGTGGCTTCAATATCTGTGTCTTAACTGCTCCACTCTACTGTGGCTGGTGATTGCTCATTGTGGGTTTGTCCTCTTCCTACAGCACTGACCAGGAGGAGGAGGGTGACTGTATGGCCCGGCTTTGTGTCCGGTGCGCCGAGTGTCTGGTAAGCCCATTTCTTATGTTCACTGTTCATATGTAGCTGTCCTGTTTTGCCCTTAGAGGAAGGAGAGGACAGTTTAGAGTGAGATGTGAATCCAGGTCTTTCTCTAGAGCATTTGGTCTAAAGCTCCTACCAATTCTAACCATTATTTTGTGTCCGATCTCATGAGTTTGGTCTCTTGGGTTGGAGCAGGGACTGTGTAAGGCAGCCTCTGCTGACTGGCAGGGAACATCCTGAAAGGCGCAGGTCCCATCACCCACTAAGTTATACTGGGAAATTTGGCACCAAAGTCCTGAATTTAACTTTTCTGTAGAGCCTCAGTTTTTCCAGGGAAGGAGTAAGATAACCTCTTAATGACTTAATGCCTTTGCTAATTAGAAACACCCATGTTGAGAAGCATACATTTTGATTTAATTTTCAAATGTCTGTCATTCCTCTTCCTTTGAGCACTTGCTGTGACTAATAGGTTTTGGGGCTGTCCCAGCATCGTAGGAGGAAGAGACTCGCTGAAGTGGTGGAGTTGGAAACAGGTCAAAAGCAACTTATGATCTAATATGAGGCATACTTGTCATTGCAGGATTTAAACTTGAGCCTCTCTGTACTTATTGCCAAGTTCAGCACTTGGCTATGTGACTGCAGCCCAGTTATTCATTGCATTGTTCTTTCTTTCTCTTGGGTATACTTCAGTATAATAGGTGAGGTGAGGGAAGGGCTAATGGTACCATTGGAAAGGATCTAATATTAATCCTTTGGGGTTTGAAAATTTTGATATCACAAAATAAGCTAATGTAATTATTATCTACATTTCAGTCATTAATTTAACCCTGCAGTTATTGAATATCTGTCATGTGCCAGATAGGGTTCGAGGTACTTAGGAAATAGTAGTAAACAGAACTGACAGTTCTTGCCCTCAAAGAACTTGTATTCTTTCCATATTAGAAAAATCTTACCCTCCAAGTCCCAGTCTGTGAGTGGAATAGATTTTAGGATGAAGATCAGGAGCTGAAGTTGGATGTATTAAATTTGTAATAATTTTTAAACATGCAAATGGAGATGTGGAATAGGCGATAGGCTATATAAGTATGAATTCAGGAGAGAGATCTAGACTGAAAGCATATTTAGGAGTCAATTAGCAGACTCACTAGGAGATTTTTGTACCAAGGAAATGAGTGTGTACAGAAAAGACATCAAAGGAATGAGCCCTGGAGTGCAGCAAGGCATATAGACTGGGGAGCTGGAGAAGAATTAGTAAAGGATGTTGAGAAAGAATACACTGTGAGATAGGAGGAAAGCCAAGAGAGTTGGATATCCTGGGAGCCACATGAAGAAAGTGTTTCAAGGAAGAGAAAGTAATTAAATGTGTCAGTTGCTGCTGAGTCAGGTCAAGTAAAATGAGAACTGAGAATTGATTATTGATGATCTGGTGATGTGGAGGGAACCCTTAGAATTTCAAAGCAGAAATTGGTCTAATAGACCTGGTTGTATTGAGGTCCTGTGAAGCTTTATGGGGATTTCAGTGTGTTGAGTCAACACCATGTACTCTTCCCTTCCCCCAAGCTGACTTTCATTTGGGGGACCCTAATGTGTGGTGTTGACCTGATGCTGATTGTGGCATTATATTTTAGACACTGATCATGACTGTTGTACTTTTCCCTCTAGGATTCAGACTATGAAGAGACATACTGATGAAAGTCTGCATGAAGAATCACCTAAAGACAGAAAATGTGCCATCCCACTGATAGCCAAAGCCTCTCAGAGAGGTGGAGCTGGCTTGGACAGTAGTGATGGAGGATTCTGAAAGTCACCGTTAAAGAGCCATTTATTTATTGAAGAAATGTTCTTTTTGTATTTATAAACTGTTTAAACACTTTCAGAAGAGACTTAATAACTACTACTCCTAATAACTTATATTCTAATTGAAGGAAGGAATTCTTTTCCTGAAGATAATTTCTCTTGAATGTATTACATGATTTCTTCCATTTATTTAAGGGAGAATTCTAAATGTTGGCCATGCTGTTGATGCCAAATTTTTTTTTTTAATGAAATGGAACTTGTAACTTCCTGATGCACTACTAGATAAAATGTTTGCTTGGGATAAGTATTGTTTTATGCTCCATGAACATTTTCAGCTGTGACTTAGCATATAGCATAAATTCATTGGTTTAATGATGTCACCATCAATTGTATTTGGGTGACTTGAAGTGTACAACCCTAAATTCCCTAGTAGGGCCAGGAGTCAAAGCTTTGTTTTAACTGGGTTTTTAAAAATAGTAAAGGGTCATTAATTTATGAGGGAGGGAAGGAAGCAAGAAGATTCATTTCTATTGTTTTGTTAGGTGAGTTTGTTACTTTACTGTCTTTCAGTAGCTGCTATATGATTTCTTTCTTGACTTTACAGATTAGAGGCAAGAAGAAATCTTCAAAATCTTTTTAATGAGGACATATAAAATATTTTAGTAATAATTTGCAAGGAAATCTCTCTTACCAGTGTTGTTCTTCAAAACCTTTTTGATTTCTAAAACACACCAAATCTGCATAAATGGAGGTATTTACAAGCTGATCTTGCATAATATTTTGGCTAAGGAAGAGAGTTTGTGCATAATTTAGACTTCTCCCTTTTGTTTTCTAGATGCCTTTTATAGACTTCCTCCTTCTCTTTAGCAATCTTTGTCAAATTTTGACTTACATTGGATTTTCTACAAACTATTAAGAAATATGTCAGAAAATATTTGCAGTGTAGTCCTTTGTAATAAAGTGATACAGTTCACTTCTCAATTGTAAGAGACAAAATTTATCCCCCTCATCCCATTTTAACAGATTTGTCCCTTCCCATGGTTCTTCATTAGTTGACTCAGGGAATTTCCATATGATAGCATTATACACTGTATATGTTATAAATAAATCACTTTTATGTGTTTTGCCAAGATCTATTTTTAAAATTTGGGTTATAAGATCCAAGAATTTTGGTCTCACCTCTTTTGTTAACTTGGTCCATAGGTTACAGGGTCTGGTTAGTTAACAGAGATTACAATTGACTTCTAGTCACATAAATATGTAGAAGAAGCAAAAACAAGCTCCCAGTGTGTATTTCTAGTGGTTATCTTGGCCTACTTGTTAAATTTGTGGTTGTCTGAGCCCAAACTAGTGAGACCAATTTTGATGCCTCAAAGAAAGAAAATATTCTGAGCAATGAAGGTAAATATTTTTGGGCCAGAGAGGATTGAAGCTAAAGATTAATTGTGAGGCAGACTTTTTGTATCTCCTTTTCTCCCTGAGAAAGGAATTCAGTTAAAGCCGTGCAATGAGGAACTAGTTTGGCTAGCTCTGGTTCTGTCCTTTTAGCCATCTTACAAGGCTTCATCCAGTGTGGTATGCTTGCTGCTTTAGGTAAATGGTGCTGTGGAACACTTAGTCATGTTATTTTTTAGCCTTGTTCATGATTTGCTTCCTTTTAAAAATGACCGAGCAACAGAGTCCTTCATGGTAAAAGAGTAAGTTGGTAAGTTAGTCTGCTGCATGGGCCACATCATGGTCACAGGCTGCTATCACTTTCTTTCTTCATCCCTTATATTCAGATCTGGATTATAGCTTTTCCTTCAAAGCCATACCATGCAGTGTTTGGGCATAGACTTCTTTAAGGACAGAGGAACACAGGTTTTTTTAAAACCAATGGTTTGAATATCTTCTAAGGTGCTATTATTTCGCTGTTTCTTTTTGCTGCTCCTTGAGTTCTTATCACACTGTGTGGACACTAGTGTTGGCTAGAAGAGGAATTTCATCCTGAAAGCTACAGAAGGGTAAAAAGTTTTCCAGAATTTTTCTTTGGCTGCTGCAGTGTCTATTTGTGGTGACATGACCTTAAGAGTTTTACACATTGAGCTCTTAATTCTGTTCCTAAGCATGAACTTTAAAGAATGCTTTGTATTTCTCATGTGTCATGTAACCTCAGGCTACTTGGGGGTACATCTTAGTTCTCTTCAGCTCTCAATCTGGACACTGGTGCTTCAAGAGGGAACCACACCTGTCCCTGTTGAAAAAAAATTCTGGAGTTCAAATCAGGAAACTAAATGTTCTACTGTGTCACCCACTTATGGTTCCACAGGGAAGTTCAAGAAGAAGAGTGAGTGGACCGAGCCTGTCATTTAAGTTCACAGCTCCGAACTTTGCTGCCAGAAAAGGCAGCTCCTTTCCTTTGACTGGAGTTGGAGTGTTGCGCTGCTGGGCTGTTAGTTATTGTATTTCACTTGAGTTTTTTGTGGGTGGGTATGCAAAGTTGGGTCACGTACAGACACTGTAACTCTTGATATTCTTAACCACATCATAGTTAATAAACTTCTTTGCACTTTCTGGCTACTTTTTTTTTGCAATATACCTACAAATAAGATGAAAACTGTCATGCAAGAGAGTGGGGGATGGTTTGTGGTTTTCGCCATCAAGCAATCATTCCTCTCCGAGCTGTACCACAGCAAGAATCTGCATAAATTTAGGGGTGTACTGGAGCCAGCTCAGGCTACATATTTTTTAGGAATTTTGCAAGCTAAACTCTTTGTACCTTGAAATAAGTCATGGTGGGAATATAGTTACCAACTTACCACTTCTCAAGAACTTAGTCTTTAAGAAGAGCCAGCATTCAACAACTTTCAAGTGACACAGGACCAGTTCCAAAACACAAACATGCCCATGTGTCAGTCAAGCCAGCTCAGCCAGGCTGATGACATGCAGGCTGAGAACACATACATTGAAGTGGTAAGGTATGAGCTGAACTACTTGCAGAAGACTTGACTACTTTTTTTTTTTTTTTTTCTTTAAGATTATTTTAATAAAGTATCATTCCCTTTTATTTTGCTTTTAGTCAGAGCCTTGACTTCTTAACTAAGATGTCTGAATCACCCTAGGAAATCTTGGGGGAAAAAATTGCTACCTGTAGTCTGGAAATGCTGATGTTCATATGGCCAAAGGACATCTACAAGTTTAGTGGTAAGTTGACAGTTGGGAGAAAAAAGAGAAGAGATTGTTGTAGTTTAAATATATAACAATGTTTTGTGTTAATCTTAAATTTATTATATTTTTTTTAGTAGGAGACTGATTTCTTTCCTGATGAATCGAGATCCCAAGAGATCTTGTGGGGGCTGGATGTGAAGTTCTCGTCAGTGGATTGAATTGACTACCTCTTTTTAGAATAAACATGTAAAAAAAATATCTGGATAGTAGGCCAGATGACTGAAATGAGAACTTGATTTAGAGGTTCCTGTTTGTGTGTCTGCAGCTACTCAGAACGCATATTTGGTTGGCTGAGACTAACCATCTGCTGGCGGAAGCCTCTTCAGTAGGACCTAGGAGCTGCGTGTAGTGGCTGGGGGAGTCTCGAGTGGTGCTTCTCCTGGCGCAGTCTCATCTTGGGTAAGCAATTACTCTGTATTTCTTAAATAGTGATGTGAACTTTTCTCCCTCAGAAGAAATCTGGTTGTGAAGGTTTAATGAAGGCACTCCTTTTGGGTGGCGAGGTCATACCAAAACTCAGCCTCACAGGACAGTTGGAATAGCCTAGTGGAAACAGTTTTCATTTCTGTAGTGTGGAGTAACTTCTGTTATAATCCTCAGAGAAAAGAGGAATGAGGTTTGTTCTCCATGAATAGTGAGTGGTGATGGTGGGGGTGATGATGACAAGGTCTTTGCTTTTAGTCAACTGTGGCTTTAGATAGGGCAATGACTAGCTGCTGTAGAACACATGGCAGGTCTGTTCCTTCACTGTTTTTCATCTTCCAACCCTAGACATACTTGTGTTTAACCTTAGGAAGTCAGGGACTTACACCTCCTGAGAGAACTAGGCTATTGTCCATGCTTGTCACTCCCGCTCCATAACCCTGACCTCCAGAAATACTGATGTTGGATGGTTTAGGTATAACCCAGTCTGACGAAGGAATAAGATGACTTCCATTGTTCCCTTCAAATAGAGAGTTGTGAGGTAGGATCTAAACTATGTCACAAGGAGCCACAGAAGCTCACTGCCTACATTAATTGGTCTTAGAAAGAAAAACAAGGACACATTTTAAGAGGCTCATGCTTCAGAGTGGCTATGTGGACCCATACACCTGAAGACACCTGTGATCCTGGAGTCCATGGCAGTGTAAGCAGAGGGGTCTCAGCATTCAGGCTGGGGAAGGGTAAGCCAGTGTTAGCTCAGTGCCTACTGGGACAAGCTTTTTCATTGAGAGGTGGCCCCTCACCCTTATTTTGTCTTGTAATATTGAAATATTTGGGGTCACTTTCACATCCTGTGTGGCAGTCTCATTGTCATAAATTTCCTTTTGAAAGATTTTTGTTCTGTTATAATTTTGCCAAGGATAACAGTTCTCCTATTCTAATGACAGGAAGGTAATTTACAGTATTGATAGGAGTATTTACAGGAGTGATAGGAGATACTTGTTGGGGGTTATATTATGAGAGCCTTGAGTTCAGGCCAAAACTTATGAGATACAGAGTTATCTGGAGAAGGAAGAAGGGTAAAAGTGCAAAATTTACTTATTCCTTTAAGATTCATTTATTTATGCATATAAGAACTGGGGTGTAAACCAGAGGTGGAGGGGGTGCGGTGAGAGGATTCACCAGAGGCAGAATGGGGAGCAAAACCAGCAGATCTGAAATACACTGCTGAGGGGAGCAGCGGGCAGGACAGGAGAGGTCTGCTGCGGCTCCCTGGTCAAGGATTGAACTTTGCTTCAGTGGCTTCAGATAGTTTCATAGTGCTAAGTTTAACCTCTGCACCACCAGGGAGGCCCCAAAGTGCAAAGTTTAAATGGAGTCTATTTTTATCAAGGTACATCTGGATGGTTTGATTAGTTTTTATTTTTTGACACTGGCAGAAGAGACCGCTTATTTTTTATGTACAGAAGATGCCACAACACTCACTCGGCCCAGTTTTGTGGTGGTTTCTTTAGCCTTCACCTTTTACAGCTTGGCCATGCGAGTCACAGTCTTTGTACCCAGGACCCAGTGTGCCTCCCCAGTGACAACAGATGTCAGCATATCTGTCGTAGTTGGTCCTGATAACTTTCTCCGGCTCAGCCAGGACTCCCGCGTTATCCTGTGTGAAGGTACCAGTGGGACAAATCTTCCTCTGGACCAGATGCCCCAGCCTCGCCTTCCCCTTCCTTATGCAGTCAGGGATCCCCATCTTCTGACACAGCTCCATGGGGTCCATGTTATGCGCATCACGAATTTTTTTGTTCTCTACCAGGAGGGTGATGGAATGAACCCCTGCTCAAAGGACAAGTGGCCTCTTAGTGGGGACATCCCCTTTGCCAGCAAATTTCTTCTTAGCCCAGACCAGCAACCTCTGCTCTTGCTTGGTCTCTGGTCTGTACTGTGAGCCAGCTTACACAATTGAGTGACTGTTTGGGGCCCAAGGCTGAGTGAACAGGTAATGGAAGGAGACACTTTTCAGCCACTTACAGAGACTCACCCTTGGTCCCTGCAGCCTGCTTGTAGCCGGCCATTTGACAAGATGGATGAGTTCCCTTTTTGCTCTGGTTCACTTTTAAATGGTTGATATTCATCAAATACATAAAATTCACAATTTTGTTATATATATATGTGTTATACACATACACACGTATAAAACTCTGAATATGTGGATGTTTGATAAAAATTACTAATTAGGAAAATGAAATTTGCTAGGTGTTAATAAGTTTGTGGTGAGTGGTTAATGACCTGCTAGGTGTTAATAACTCATGACAAGTGGCTACTGGGCTGTCATCCTGGGTCATTGGGCTGGCTCTGGAGATAGAATGACAGATGGGCATAGCTCTTGGCTTCAGTGAGCTTGTAGTCGAAGGATGAGGGTGGAGGCTAAGACTTCAATCAAATGGGCATAAAAAAATAGGCAATTAGAAATTGTGGTAGCTGCCCTGAAGAAAAGCTAAGTGTGACTATTAAAACATGTCTGATCTGAGAAGAGTGGTTCAGGAGAGGTTTCTCTGAGGAAATGACATTTAACTTGAGATCTGAACAGTGAGTAGGAGTTAACTGTGAAGGGGGTGGGAGATTGTTCAGTCAGGGGAGCAGATGAGTCTTGTATTGACAAATGAAATCCAGGGAAGCTTTGCTCTCAAGCCGTCACTGCTTTCATAGACATGGAAGGCAGTGCGGTGCTTCCTGGGTGTGGACCTTGGCATGCCACTTGTCATGTGTTCTGAGGCAAGTCAGTTCACCACCCTGTATCTACTTTCCTCACTGGTGAAATCTCATAGGGTTATTGCCAGGATGAAGTGGGTCCATGTGTAAAAAATCTCACCATACCTGGCATAACCTTCTCTAGTTTGTTGTATATCAATTGTTGACTTTAAGTGTGGGGCTATCAATCTCAGTGGAATTTCCACTCTTTTAAAGATGAAGCTTGGGGCATTGAGTGATTTCCCAATAATCAAAGAGTTCATTGACAAAAGGTCTGTCTCAGGAAGAGATTTAAAACATAAATTCACTGCTTTTTCAAATCAATCATTAGTTCTCCATTGATTTATACAGAATTCTAAAGGTACAATTGGGTACTTAGGTCTGATAATGGGTATCTTCTACTCATGAGATTGTTTGCACACTTCTTAGAACTGGGTGTGGCTCTGAGTGACTCATTTTGGTGATTAGATCCAGAGTCTTCAGTGGTTCCATGTTTCTCTTAAAACAGAGTGTACAGTTGCAGGACATCTAAGCTGACTTCAACTTGATGGTCATTTTATGCTACCAGCATTTTCCAGTATATACCAGGTACTTTACAGGTGCTGTAGCACAGGCATGGGGCACCCGTAGAACAAAGTGCAAGTAGACCCTGCCCTTGATGATGTAGACTTAATAGGGTTTGGTGTCAAACATGTAGTATCACTGACTTGTCTGTCAGTGGCTTGCCGCTGGGCCAGGGTGAGGGGCTAATGAATGAGAGTTGTATGCTGGATAGGAGAGGGAGTATGGCCAGAAGAATTCATTCAGCTTCAACAGGAACCTCAGATATTCCAGATATGATAAGTTAAAGTTCTGACATGCTGTAAAGGGAAGACTTTGCCATCCTTACCCATGTATGTGTGGAGTAAGGTTGGTGGCAGGGAGCAGGAGTAGAGTTATGGTGATCTTAAGAGAGAACTGGGCTTTCATTAAACTAATGTTTGGAGAAACTTAATGTGATTTAATGATCACATTTGATCCTTGCATTCTTATCCCCATGTTACAGTGAGGACATTGAGAGTAAACAAGGTCAACTGACTTCTCTGCATAATTGGGAGCTAGAGTAGGACTTCTTTGAACAGTTTGATCCTGATTTTCCAGATGGAGGATTTTATTGATTAGAATACAGATAAGGAATATCTTACGTATCATTTTTCACAATTAAAATGGTCATCGTATCTGCTGAACATCCCCCCCAGAGCCAGTTAGGGTACCACATGTTAATGCACAAAAAAGACGGTTCCTTCTAGCAGGTCCTAAGGTGGAATTGCTCCCTTGGTGGGGCGTTAGTGTCATGACTGACACCTGTCACAGTAGTAGGTAGGAACCCCAGGTGGTGGGATTGCAACTCCCTGCAGTTAAGGTCCTTGTGTTTCATTAAGAAAACTGTGTTTCATTATAAAACAGTGCATTCTTTCCCAGGAGCTAGTTGTTGATGCAGTCAAGTAAATACAGATCATGCAGAAATTTAAAAAGACTTGGGGTGGGGGGTCCCTGGTGGTGCAAGAGGTTAAACACAGCATTATGAAGCTATTCGTAGCCACTGCAGCACGAGTTCGATCCCCAACCAGGGAGGTGACCCACCCAGCAGATCTCTCCTATCTCTCCCTCTTCTTCCCTCAGCAGTGTATTTCAGTCAATCTCCTGTTCTAGTGAATCCTCTCATCCCCTGCAACTCTAGCCTGTGCTCCAGTACTTGTACACATACAATTTTAAAAAATACTTTTTTTTGCCCACCACAGTCCAATTCTTTTTTTTTTTTTTTTTAAAGATTTATTTATTTATTTGTGCATACAGAACTGGGGTACAGGCCAGAGGCTCAGGGGCGGTGAGAGGCTTCACCAGAGACAGAGTGGGGAGCAGAACAGGCAGATCTACGAAGTACACTGCTGAGGGGAGCTGCGGGTGCAAGAGGTTAAACACAGCATTATGAAGCTATTCGTAGCCACTGCAGCACGAGTTCGATCCCCAACCAGGGAGGTGACCCACCCAGCAGATCTCTCCTATCTCTCCCTCTTCTTCCCTCAGCAGTGTATTTCAGTCAATCTCCTGTTCTAGTGAATCCTCTCATCCCCTGCAACTCTAGCCTGTGCTCCAGTACTTGTACACATACAATTTTAAAAAATACTTTTTTTTGCCCACCACAGTCCAATTCTTTTTTTTTTTTTTTTTTTTAAAGATTTATTTATTTATTTGTGCATACAGAACTGGGGTACAGGCCAGAGGCTCAGGGGCGGTGAGAGGCTTCACCAGAGACAGAGTGGGGAGCAGAACAGGCAGATCTACGAAGTACACTGCTGAGGGGAGCAGCGGGCGGGTCAGGAGAGGTCTGGCTCGCCATGTGGTCTCCTCCGGGGCAGGCTGCAGGCGGGAATCGAACTCATGCGGAAGTGGCTTCAGATTCTCAGTACTGTGCTTTAACCCGCTGCACCACCAGGGAGGGCCCACAGTCCAATTCTTATTCTATCCAAACTACCTTGCCTAAAAATATTTTTAAAAAAGGGGTGGTGCACGGGTGACTTGGTGATGGGAAACCCGCGGGGACTACAATTGAGATGGAAAAAAAAAAGTAAAATGTAAAAATGTAAAATAAACTGTTATAAAATAAAAAAAAAAAGGGGGGTGGTGGTGGTTGGGGAAGCTCACTGTGGAACTTTCAGGTGGTTCCTTTTAGTCAAAGAGCTTGGTGAATGCATTAACTAAGTCGAAAATTTCCCCCTTACTTGTGTGTTTATTTTCCCACATGTCCTGAACATTCTTCAAGTTAGAAGTGGTCATTTAAGTGTAGTTGGAGAGATAAGTACACATTTCAGGCCTAGTGTCCTGTAATTTTAATTGAGAAGTAATTGACATATATCCCTGGCTACGTTGAAGGCCCACAGATTGGTGGCTTGACTCACATATATTGTGAAATGATGGCCACAACAAATTTTGAGTACCTGGCACTTTTTTGTTTGACTAGCCAGGGCTAATTTCTTGAGGGCATCCTGCAATTATCTGCTTTTTTCTTGAAAGGCCACTTTCATTTGATCTACTTTTACAGTCAGTCTATAGCAGCCCCTCAGTGGCTCTGCAGACACCCTCTATTTTGTTTCATCAGGGCACTTAACCAGCCTCTGGTATTTTCTTATTCTTACATTCACTTCTTTTTCATCCTCTCTCCCCTCACAGAACTACTCAAGCATCTCAGGGAGAGGGTGGCCGGTGGAGGGGCTCCAGTTTGTTAAATCAGTAAACTTCCCTCAACACTCCTTTCTGATTCCCCCCTCTACTTTTTTCCCTTAAGGTTGGAAGATGGAGAGGAGGACCAAGTTTTGCCCACTGAAATTCATCCTGATGCCACTTTTACTGGGTAAGTAGAAGCCAAAGGAAAAATGTAAGGGGTTTGATTTATTGTAGGACTTATTTTATTTTTTAAGATGTATTTTATTTATGCATACAGAACTGGGGTACAGTTCAGAGGTGCAGGGGCGGCAAGAGATTTACCAGAGACAGAGCGGGGAGCAGAACAGGCAGATGGACAAAGTACTCTGCTGAGGGGAGCTGCGGGCAGGTCAGGAGAGGTCTGCCGCGCCATGTGGGTCAGCAGCTGTGGCCAGTTTCGTAGTGCTGTGCTTTAACCCATTGCACCATCAGGGAGGGCCCAGACTTGTGTATTTTTAAAAACTGATTTTGTATATTTTCATTTCCCCTTGGTTTGTTGAAAACAGAAACCTTAACCTGAAACTTCACAGTTGGCCTAAAACAATGTTCTAGAAGGCTGGTAGTGGATTCTTCCTTGGAAAGCAGATGCTCCTGTTTCTATTAAGAGCAGAATGCCTTTAGGTCCTTTCTGGGTGGTCTAGGACACTCCCATGATACAAAAAATGTTATGCTTTGGCATTCCTCTATTTTAAATTGTAATCTTTAAAACTGTAATTAGACTCAGACCAGGAAATGAAATTACCAAAGAGAGTCCCAGAATCCCTGTAATTGTTTCATGTGTTAGTCACATTAAATGTACCAGTTCCTCAAATACACTGAGCCATTTCCCATCGTGAAGTGGTTTCTTTTGCCTGTCAACTCTCTTCACTTTCCCTGAGCTGTCCAGAAGGCTTCTTGTCTTTCAAGCTCTCCCTTGGCTCCACTTCCTTCTCAAAAGCATGGGTTGGCTGCCTCTTCAGAGCAGGCCAAAGTCACCCAACCGCTCAGGCTGCTTGTTGCTGCTCACCTCCTACTCTTTCTAATTTTTCTTGGTCCTTTCTCCTTTCCTGGAGATCTAGTTCTGTAGGAAGAATTAATCAGCTAGGTGATTTATTCACAGCCTTTTGTTTTCATTATTAGTAATGTTTGAACTATGACCCAAGTAATGAGTGACCCAAGCACAGACTCAGCAGAGAACATGGAAGAATTGGCTTTGCTCAAAGTCTAGGCAATGTAGAGTGTATACAACAGGCAGACACTCAAACAAACACAAATGGCCATGAAGTAGAAACACTGTTTTCATGGCAGCAGGGTTTTAATGATCTCAGAGGGCATTTAAACCTTTTCTCACAGGTCTTTGGAGCTGCCTGCAGGTTTTGGCCCTTCTGGCTGGAGAGTTCATCCAGCCTGTGGCTTGGGGCCATCTCGTGGTTTACATTTCTGTGTGGAGGAGTTTTCCTCTTCTGTGAAAGCCTTATTTTCTTCAACCATTTTTCCACAAAGCTTACCCTTCAGATATAAGTTTCTTTTTGCTTTGGATGCTGCTTTTGCTTTTTAGCAAACCTTCCTTTAATTCCACATGCAGTGCTCTTAACTAGCTTCTTGTACCTTCTAACATAACTTGTAAGGTTGCTCATTTCTTCCTTATAGGAAAATTCCAATTGTTTTTGGAGCTGATTTTGATTTCTTTCAAAATAATTCCCTCCAAAGGCTTTCGAGTTTATGTTTTCTTTTATGTCTTCCCCACTGCGTGTGCCTGCTGTTGAACAGGAAGGGAAGGCTTTTCTCTCAGGGCAACAGCTTGCATGAAAAGACTGCCACATCCCCCATTTATTCCCATATGCCATCGCTTGGCTTTCCTCTGATGTGACCTGGCCAGCTTCTGAACGTGTCTTGCTTGTTGTTTTCGTCCCTTTGTGGCAACAGAAATATCCATGTAGAGATTGTCTCTTTAGGTAAGAAGAGAATTGACTCAGCGTGCATGACGGCATGTGCAAATGCGTAGCAGCAGAAAAGCCGAGTTGATAGAAAGCCGGGGGTGAGGAGGAGAGGGATAGAGCAGAGGAAGGCAGGCACAAAGGAAGTTCAAGGGGAAAGCTGTGCTCTGTGGTGGCCTGATTGCCAGATCCGCACTACAGCCAGTGCAACTGGCAAACTCAGGGACAAGCTTTTGTAAAGGGACTGAAGGAAGGGAAAAGAGGAAGGAAAAAAAAATACCTGTAATTGGCACTTCAGATAAGGAACCAGTGCTAAACTTAGAGGAAGAGACCTTCCATTTCCTATTTATGGGGATCTAAATTCTGCTCTAAAAGGAGGGACTTTAGCTCTCTCTCTCTTTTTCTTCTTAGGAAGGTGACTGGGAGTGGGGAAGGGGGGAAACCTGGAAAAGAGGAAGGGGCTAGCTAGGAGAGGGGCCCAGTGAGCCTGTGGTGCAGCGTGACCATGGCAGGGCCGCTGCCTGAGCTGTGTGGCTAGCCGTCGGTAGTCCTCAGCACCCTGGAAATGCCATGCTGGTTTGAGTGAGGGACTATGAATACCTCACCCGTGTTAGGGCATGGGCAGAGTGAAGGTGTATAGCCCTAGGTGATTACTGGGTTTTGTTGTTGAGAAATTTGTCTAAATGATCATCTCCTCTTGCTTTTGACTTCTACAGCTTATACCTTGGACCTGAGTGATGTGATTGCTAACTCCTTCGAGCTGACTGTTCATGTAGGTGATTCAGCTCTGATGGGATGTGTTTTCCAGAGCACGGAAGAGAAGCGTGTGACCAAGGTGGACTGGATATTCTCACCAAAAGCACGTGTCACGGTAAGAAGAGGGAACGTGACTGTGCAGGAGCAGTGAGGTGCTGGCCAGTGGTGTCAGAACAGTGTGGGGAGAAGGGAATCAGGTCAGCAGGTACCACAAAATGGTGTCGCAAGAACTTGCGTTCTGGAGTTTGTCAGAATTGAGCCTCCTCCTCCTGCCTTGGCCTGTTGGTTGTATAATCAGCTGAGCAAGTTACTTAACCTCATTGACTTCAGCTCCTCTTCTTGTGAAAATGAAGGTGACTTACTAATGGTAAGCTTCAGTTTCAGCACATTGAGATGCTAAAGGGAGACATAAAGACACAAAAAGTTCTTTTAGTCCCCCCCCTCCCATTTCTGCCCTTTGTAGAGAAGCATAGGTAGGTGGGAAAGAGAAAAGGATGAGAGATAGGAAAATGTGGCATAGGCAAAAGAATGCCATCACAGTTATCTTTTGGGGTGAGTAATGGGGATATTCTTTCAGCATTCCACTGGTCACTTATATTCTGGGGAATCATCTCTTTCTCCTTCATGGATGCTGGAAGCATTGGGTAAGCAGGTAGCATGGTTGAGTAAGCATCTGTCGTGGGAGCTCCCTGAAGAGTGCGTGAAGCTTCAGCAGAGATTCTGTGGGGATAATCACACTGTTCTCAGGCTACGGGTCTGAGAACTGTCATTGGTTCATAACCTGTCTCTGGTTCTGGGTCCATCCACCCACCGCCATAAATGCAAACAGAGGGCCTTTGGTACTGCAAAAAAGGAAAAAGCTAATTTATTCTAAACCAATAAGGTAGAGGGGGAGGGAGAAAAGGTTCAGTTGCCAATCAGTGGTACCAGGTGGAGCTGTAGTTATAGGAACGGGCAGGGTATGGCGAAGGTGGCAAAGGCCCACCACCCAGCTGGGTTGCTGCTGCTTCTGCAGCCCTTCAGTGATGAGAGCAAACCTTTGGCATTGCTTCCTGTTAAAGGCTCACAAAATGGCCACTCAGCTTGCTCCCTTCCTAGCAGCCTCGTCCATCATGACGCATTCCCATTGGCTCTCTTGGGTGTCTGGACATCAGACTTGACCCCTCATCCTGGTGGGAAAAACTCTTCCATTCTCACTCAGCCTGGGAGGCTGTGCTGGCTGCTCTGAGGGTCCAGAGGCGCAGAACTCAGCTGCTCCAATAGGATGTCAGGGTCACTCATGAACTGTGTCCTAAGCAATGACATATGTCCAATAAAATGCCTGTGCTTGTAAATGAAATAGGTTGTTTTTCTAGCTCAGAGCGTGTTTTCCCTAGAATGCTATTCTCACTCAAATTTTTAGATGGCATAAGTTGAAGAATTCTCCAGGGTTTCCCCTCCCAGCCCATAAACCATTCCTGTTGACGCCTCCTCACCCCTTATGACATGATGCCTGGAGGAGGGCAGAAGCAGAAGAGGGAGGAGTGACGGCCAGCGTGCCCAGCAGTCCTGCCCCAGCCAGCCTGTGGGACTGGGTCGTGCCTTTGAATGGCATCTACTCAGGGCCATGGCAGAAAACAGTGGAGGCAAGGGATGGTTTTCAAAAGTTGTGTTTCATCTTACCTTAAACTGTAAGAAATGAACATATAGGGACCCCATCTCTCCAGATGTCTTTGTGTAACATGAGCCCCAGAGCCTTGTAAAAATTAGCGACTAGTGCCTGGCATGTGATGGTCATTAATTGGGCACCAAGTGCTACCTAATTGCTGTGATGATGATGGCGGTGACTCTGCTTGCTCACAGAACAGGATCTTTTGAATCCAGACGCCCAGGTCTGGAACCACTGACCTGAGACGTCTCTTGGCGCTGTGTCTCCCTCCAGGAGGATTACGTGCTATACTACTACTCCAACCTCAGCGTGTCTGTGGGCCGCTTCAGGAATCGTGCGCATTTGGTAGGGGACATTTTGTGCCAGGACGGTTCTCTGCTGCTCCAAAATGTGGAGGAGGCTGACCAGGGAACCTATACCTGCGAAATGCGCCTGGAGATGGAGAGTGTGGTGTTGAAACAGACCATGGTTCTGCACGTGCTCCCCGAGGAGCCCAGAGGTACTCGTGTTGCCCTGGAGATTTAGTGCAGGGAGGGAGGGGAGCTGGCTGTGGAGAGCAAATGTGGAAGAGACACGTCTCACGAAGGGTGCTTTTTTTTTTT